TAGTCCGGCTCTGATCTGATAATCCGGCACCCCCTGGGTCCTAAAGGTGCCGGATTATCGGAAGTTTACTGTATAACATCTGAGGTTCCTTCAGTCCTGTCTCTTATAGTCTACCTACCAGCTGGCCATAAATTTCCATGAAGAAAGAGTGAGCATGGCTTTTAATGAAGCATAACGTTTTGTTTTTACAGTCTATCACTGAATTTGAATATGCAGTGCCCTAGGCATAATCATAATTATGCTGGAGTCTCCCATTGCTCTGCTGTTTGTCTTAGTAGAGGCTTCCTTGGCAATAACTTTAATGTCCACTGCGTCTGCAAATTAACTGTGAAAAATTATCAATGAGAAGGAGAGAGAAATATGTAATTGTAGGAGAGCTAGGCAAGAACTGGAAATTAAAAACATTCTGAGATACTGAAATTTCAGAATTTTCCAGGAAAGGAAATTCTTGGAAACATTATTTTTGGGAAAGCGACGTTTCACTTTTGCGACATTATAATGTTTTGTTCTGAATTTTATTTTTAAATATTTTTTTAAGGAATTCTAAACTAAAAATTATTTAACATTTAAATAAAAAAACTGATTTTTTTTCTAAATGAAATTTTGTAGAAACCATCATATTACAACAAAAAGATTTAAGTTTTGATAGAGGCATTTTCTGATGAAAACATTCTGATAACAGAGATGAGGTTAGTTATGTAATATTGAATATGGTAGATCTTCAGAAGAAGGCATGTGTTCGAGGTCTCTTTATTTTGACCAATTTAAATGTTATAGCTAATATACTAGTTTTGAGTAATCTCTGTGTAGTGAATGAGACACTTTTCTGTTCCTGTTGTGTGGCCAGAGCAGAGCATGGAAGAACATGAAATAAGCCAGGAAGCCAGGCATGGAGGATGCAGTGACATCCATGTTACTGACATCTGTTATGGAGCTGCTGCTTGGAAATTATCCAATTCTTTTATGCTCAGTTGGATGAGGAAGATAAGGAATTGCAAATTCTAACACATTGTTTTCTGGGATCACTGTATCAGTTTGACCATGGAATCACAGCCCTTAGTCTCTCCAGTCTGTCTTGTCATCCAGGCAGACTAGACTTAATGATAAATGGTTACTTGCACCAAAAATCACAAAATATTCAGGTTGCTTTCCTGTGGGCCTTATAGTATCGAATACAGAGATTACAAATCAATTTAATGCAGACATCAATTTACAAGCATTCTATAGGCTCAACGCTAAATACAGTCGTATAAGACTAATACCTCTTTTGAGTAACTCTAATACATAGATGACATTCTCTATTCTCCAGCTATGAGTTAGTCAATTCTTTGCTAATGCCCACAATCTTGGTAAGAGCTGGCATCTGGCCTGTCAGTATCACACAATCTAGTGTGAGTCATAATTTTAGAGGGGAAAGTGATTTTTGGCATGATCAGCTCTGTTAGTCTCGATTCCCTGTATGGTCCCAGATTAGTCTACAGTATTCAGTGAGGAAGTTAACTTATTAATTGATTAATAATGCTGTAATAAAACACCAGGGAAGGATTTTATCTCTGGAGATGTATTTAAGGGAAACATTGACTGATGGGCACCTGTTTTGCTAAATTTTTCTCTAATATAATTAATATAAGGATTGACTCCTCAGGTTGATTTATCAATATTAATTATTTCACTTTATAAAAAAAGGGGATAGAAAAAACCATGGGAATTACCACCCAATTAATGTATTGGATTTTCATTAGATATCTTGTGGGGAGATTAGAGAACTGAACGGAGCAATGTACTTTAGGGTATGTCTACACTACAAAGTTAATTCGAACTAACAGCCGTTAGTTCGAATTAACTTTGATAGGCGCTACACATACAAACCGCTAGTTCGAGGGTTTAATTCGAACTAGGTAAACCTCATTCTACGAGGACTAACGCCTAGTTCGAATTAAGTAGTTCGAATTAAGGGCTGTGTAGCCACTTAATTTGAACTAGTGGGAGGCTAGCCCTCCCCAGCTTTCCCTGGTGGCCACTCAGGGCACCACCAGGGAAACTTGTCTGCCCCCCTCCCAGCCCCGGAGCCCTTAAAGGGGCACAGTCTGGTTATGGTGCCCGTGCCAGGTGCAAACCTGACAGCACCCAGCCAGCAGACCCTGCCCCTGGCACGGATCGAGCCAGCCACCCGATGCCCCCCAGCCCCCCCCCTCTTCCCGGGACCAGGCTGGCGGCTCCCGGGAGCTTGCCCTGGACCGCACGAGGCGGGCACCCGCCTGGGCTAGTGCGGACATCGTGGACCTCGTCCACAACCTCCGCACTAGGCACAGGACAGCGGC